CCCCCCCAAGTCACCACGCCATCCCTCGTACCCCTGGTGAATTTTTGTTACATTTTAAAAGGAAAATATTCCAGCTGGCCACTCATCCTTCCTCATGTAGGAATCAGGGAAATAATGACCTAAAAATCAAGGAATTCCAGTAGTTAAGTGTGTTGGCGAGTTCTTCCAGCATACAAAGGGTTACAGGGGAAGGGTGTCATCTTACATTCTTCCAGAGGTTGGGAATTTCGCTTCTCGGCTGTGGGATGGGTTGTCCGTGTCATTTACGGATTTTTGCACAGTCCCTGCTCTGTCCTCTCGCTTGCCGCCTCCCTGCGGTTTTAATTAGGAGTCTGCTGTGGAATTTCTGCTCCAGATAAGGGCTGAGCTCTAATTTTAATCAGTAAAATTCACCTTCTGATTTGCACCAGTATTGCATTATTCCATTGTGCAAGTTGCTGTAACACCTAAAATAGATGCCCTGCTCAGGTCTGGGGGCCCGTTTCTATTGGGACTGCGTGTTCTTGCAGAAATAGCATTTGGGGTCCTTTGGCAGGAGATGATCCAGGACAGGGAGACATGGCTGTGTTTTAAGACTGATTGGAAGGCAGATATTGGGGCAAAATTGACCATGAGCCAAAATATTTACTTTCATTTGCCCTACATGCTATAATTATTTATTTATGGATCCTTAAAATGGGTCTCTTACAGGATGGGTCTGAAAACCGAGACACCTATTAAATCTCTTGACCTGCTTGTGTGACACTGCGTATGCACTGTGGTGTACATGGTGAAAATGCCAGTCGATGCTTCATATCACGCTTCATATCATGGGTGTGTGAGCATTAAATATAAATGGACACATTTAAGAAGCATCTGGGTCACGGACTGTTATTTATGACAAAACTGATGAGGTGCTTGAAGTTCTCGTTGTTTTATTTGGAGTTCGCGCTTTCAAACCGAAGGTATCTGATTCGTTGTCGTCATGGAAACACCCCCCTCCACACACACACACACACACACACACACATCTGCAGCTGTTCCATTGTTTCAGATAACATCTGGCCTGGTGTTGGACCACTCAGAAGGGTTACCGGCTGCTGTATGAAGGAATGTAGCGGCAAGGGCGTGTGGGGGAGTTTTGTGGATGCGCTCCAAATGCAAGACCTTATCAGAAGCTTGGCTCTGCTCATCCCCGTCCCAGACTGAGGTTAACCATATGCTGGTGTAGAGACACCCCCTATAAGTGACCAGGCTCTGACTTCAGTATCATGGCATTGGCTTCCCCAAGGGCAAGGATGGGGGTTGGGACAATTAAACAGGCAGCGGAGATAGGGGGCTGAGGGTCCTGTTCACTCTTACTGTCAGGAGTAACACCATGTAAGTAGAATGATATGAAACAGAGGGGAAATTCCTGCAAGACTAGAGTGACAATTAAATTTACCAAAAAAAAAGAAATTTGTAATGTAACAAAGCAGCCAAATCATTTGAACTTAGTTGGATGCAAAAGAAAACTGTTTGTATGTGTGTGTGTGGATTCGGTTTATATTACTTTGTGGGGACTAA